GTTGTCGGACGATGAAGCTGGAGGAGACAGACGAAGGAGGAGGAGGAGACAAAGAAACAAAGAGGGAAGAAGAAAGAAAAAAAAAACGAAGGCGTAAAACTCCCCAAGTGGTTTGGGGGAAGGCCGTTTTTTTTTCTTCTAGTTGTTTACAAATATATATATTGTTATCATCGTTCTTCTTCTTGGATTATGTTCTTGTTGTTATCAACGTTACTGCTGCTACTCCTTCTTCTTCTTTCTTTTTCTTCCTTCCCCCCCCCCTTCGCGGTTATGTGTTGTATCAATGTGTCAGAGGACTTGTATTTTGTTTGTGTGTGTGTGTGTTTTTTTTTTACCCCCTCCCTCTGCCCCACATTTTTTTGTCCTTCTGCCCCCCACCCCCCACCCCCATTCACCCACGTAAACTCCGCCAAAAATATATATATATATATTATTATTATTCGTCGCCGTTGAGTGTTGTTGCTGCTCCCGCCATCGCCGCCCTTCTTCATCCACGGTCACAGGAGGTGGAGGGCGGTGACCTCTAGAAAAACGTGTGTGAAGGACGGATGTGGGCCGGGTGACGGAACACGATTCCGGACTCCAGGCTTGACGTCGGTCACTGACACACCCTACGTGCTACGGATGCTCTCGACGAAGGGCTGACTTCGCACCCACTGCACGCGTCACGTGTGTTAGGACTGGGCATTTCTTACACCACCGCTTTTGCAAGGGAATTTGTGTACTACTGCAGGTGGTTGGGTAGGTGTTTGTCAGTGTCGATGCGGTGGGGAGGCAGCGGGAAGAGTGTGAAGGCCAGTGTATGCTGTTGTTCTGCAGATGACGGTGCATGTATGCCTAACTATGCAGTGTTTGTCTCCATTCTCTTCCCTCCTCCCACCCACACATACACCACCATCAAACTCCCTGCTGTGGCTGCGGGGACCTCCCGGCTAGCGTCAGAGGAGAAGGGAGAAAAGTTTTTTTTTGTTTTTCTTAAGGCGCGCGTTTAGGGCCGAAACGACAGCACGCGGAGAGTACGGAAGTGACGTGGACGGGGGCGTGAAATGGAGCATGTTTCTCCCTCGTCGGAATTGTCTCTGCAGGAACGGAAGCAGCAACAGCAACCGGGCAAGGCAGAGGAAGCTGTAAAACAAAAGCCCTGCTTCAGCGAAGGCGAGGTGTTGCAGCTTGCGCAGCGCTACTTTCTCTCCCCGGCCGTTGCAAAGGAGGCCTATGAGGTGTTTTTGCAGTACTGTGCAATGGAGCAGCAGCTACCGCAACGGCAGAGGTGCATCGTGATGGCGCCTTCTGTGCCTTCGCGTAAGGCAACGGAGGTGAGCACGGTATTCTCCCCCACGGCTGTTCGGGAAGACGGGGGAGAGGCTATGCCGTGTCGGCTGGACATGCCACATGGCGAGAAGGCCGCTGCGGCAACGGTGGAAGGGAAGAAAGAAGATGGCAGGATTGATACAGCAACGGTGTGGACATCAGCCTTGGTCAGTGGGAGGCATACGCTTCCGGGCGACGGAGAACGCCAGCAGGAGGGGAAGGATGGGGCCACAAGCCCCGACGCTGAAAAGGAAGTGGGCGAGGAGGTGACGCTTGGGGTGGAGGGGCTTCAGCAGTTCTTGAACGACTTGGGGATGCGCATGTCTGCGCTGGAGGTGGCGGACTTGGTACACGACCTCAACGATGACCCCATCGACTTTGTTCTGCGGCGGCGCGCGATGGCGGCGGCAGCAGCAGCGGCATCCGAGGCTGAGGCGCAGGCTTCCGCGGTGGGAGGCTCTTCGGCGGGGCAGGGTGCGACCACGAAGTCCGCGACCTCCACCAAGGCCGGAGCGAGCCGTCGGAAAGACAACTCCGCCGTCACGAAGAGTGGCAAGGAGGCCCACTCAGAGTCAGCTTGGAGCGGTGATAGAGGAGAGGAACTTTCCGTGTCCGTAAGCAAGAGGTCAGTGAGGGATGGCGTAACGTTCTCGCTCTTTCTCTTTATTCTCTCCCATGTGCTGCTGGAGAAGGAGGACAACACGGAGATGCGGGACTGCGAGGTGCGTGACCTGTTTCACCTCGTAGACGCCGATAAGGATGGGGTCATCTCCGTGCGGGACATACAGACGGTGATACAGCGCTTGATGGATGAGGGTGCCGCAGCGGATGATCGTGACCTGCAAAAACTTTATGCCATGAGCATGGTTGAGCTTGAAACGGCCCTGGCGGAGTGCGACGTGGACGACGATGGCCGTGTGACACTGGAGGATATGTATGGTGTTTTGCGTTCATGAGATACATGCGGCAACAGAAACTTTGGGGGGACTCATGCCGTGCAGTGCAGGCCCCATGTAAAGAAGAGTTGGTGGTGGTGGTGGTGGGAAAGTCGCTTGCGGGGTGACTTTGTATTGCGGTGCATAACGGCTTCTCCGTCGGTCGCCGTCTGTGTGGCATGCGCGTGTGCAACGAGCGACGTGAGCAAATGCCGGCGTTCATCGGTGGGCGCTACACTGTCGATTGTCTTCTTTTTGTTACTGTCCCTCTCTCTCCCTCCCTTTCTCGCAGCGCATGTGCCTCAATCCTTTGCTTCTGTGCTTCTTCTTTTTTGTTTCGTTTTTTTTTTGCGGTGGTGGTGGGGCCTGTTGGCTTCTGTGTGGTTGAAAAATCATAGAGTCAGATCGTTGAAAGCGGGGTGGTGTCTGGGTTGTTGTTTTTTTTTTTTTTTACACGAATGGGGGTGCCGCTGCTACTCACGTGGCTGAAGCGACGCTTCGCGCCGTGCTTCTTGCCTAGCACCAGCTGCCCAGCTACGGACTGTCTGTACATTGACGTAAATGGGCTTGTGTACCAGTCCGCCGCCCTCGCGACTTCCAGTGAGGCGTCCGCGGCGGACATTGACGCCGCCATCCTGCGGAAGCTCTTCGACCTGCTTGACGATATCGTCTTGCGTCTTGTTCGCCCACGCGCGCTGGTGTACTTGGCCGTGGACGGCATCTCTCCTATGGGCAAACTCGCCCAGCAGCGTTCCCGGCGGCGGCGTCGCAGCAGTGGTGGCTCGCGTGGAAGAGGCGCTGTGGAGTGGGACAGCAACAGCATCAGCGTCGGCACCCCGTTCATGTCGCGACTGACGGAGGCGCTGCACTTTTACTGCGCCAGCCGCGCGGAACGCGTTAATGGAGAGCGGCTGCGTGACGCAATGCAACCGGCCGCACAGAGCGACACAATGGCAGGGGCGGATCCCGCGACACCCATCACGTTTGTCGTGGATGGTGTCTGGCGACCGGGGGAGGGGGAAAACAAAATAGCAGATGCCATTCGCCGCTTCCGCTCACAGCCAACGTACGACCCAAACACGTCTCACGTCATCTGCAGCTCTGACACGGATGTGACGGTGTGCTCCCTGATCCTGCATGAGCCACGCATCCACGTCCTCCGGTATGAGTACCCCACAACCCACAGCAGTGGCGGTAGCGGCAACAGCAGTAGTTGGCGGAATCATGTGGGCGACGGTTGGGCCTCCACGTTTTTTAGCATTCATGCCTTTCGTGAGGAGTTGCGCGCCAAACTCAGGCTACAACCCAGTGGCAGCAACTCCGTGGACGAGGTGGAACGCAGAAATCGTCAGTTTGAACGCGCGCTCCACGACGTGGTGTTTGTTCTGCTCTTGTTTGGGAACGACTTCCTCCCCTCGGTGGGATGCCGTATCGAGGAGGGTTTTCTGGACGATCTCCTAGAGCTCCTCTCCACTGACTTCATCTCGCGGGATCGCTCCATCATTGATCCATCCACAAACACCATTCAGTTTGACGCCGCCCGATACGCATTGGACTCCCTGGCAGAGCTGCGCAGCGAGCGCGCTGGTGGTGAGGGACTGTGCGTCGACAATGGCAAGGAGGGCGCCACCGACTGGGGTTTTGTGGATGAAGACTTCCTGAGACGGAAGCAGGCGAGGGAGGAGACGGAGCTGGCACCTCAGTGCTACGCGTACTGGACGATGCTGCAATGGTCTCTGCAGAACAGTGCAGGGCTGGTGGAGCACTGGGGCTGCTACTACCCGTACAGCAGTGCCCCTCCGCTGCATCTACTTCGGAAGTACTGTGGCATGTTGTCATACGAAGCCCTGATGGAGCTGGCGAAGAAACGCAGCCGTTTGAGGCACCGTAGTTCCACCGCCAGCGCCAGTGAGGTGGAAACTGCGGTCTCAGTGTGGGGGGATGGCCCTGCAGATGTGCTGGTGCAGCTTCTCGTGTTGCTGCCTGCGCGGAGTACCGCGCTTCTTCCATCGGCGGTTCGCAACGCATACAGCGAGATTGAACAAATCGTGCTGTCCCCGGTGGAGCAAATCGATTTTGCCGCCATTTCGGCGTGGTGTAAAGCGAAGCAGACAATGTTCACTGAAGAGAAGCGAACGCGGTTCCGCGCCTATGCGTTGGCTGCCAGGCCCCATGTGCTTGCAACAGAGGCGCATGGAATGCCGATTCAAGGGGACGAAATGATTTTTGTTGCCGATTGGGATGCCGAGGAATTTTTGGCAGAAGTGCAGCAGGCAAAGGCCGCAAGAACGCTAGAACAGACAAAAACAGCAGGGGCGGGGAACACGGCTGTGACGAACGCTGCATCACCGGCAAGCAGCATGCCAAGTGTGTCGGTGTCCTCATTCTTTGCCCCGCGGCCGTCGCGCACCGGTTCATTGGCGGCAACAGCCGCACTGATAGCCGCGTCCAAAAAGGCTGACGTCTCTAATCGTCACCATAGCGGTGACAATGTTGCCGACAACGATAGGAGTCGTGATGGTGCCATGCCCGTTACCCACGCGGTCACTTTGCCGGAGACACCGCGTCCCTCGGAGGGGGCTGAACTGCGGTGCGGACGTGGGTTCACACTTGTCACGGCACCCACGGCAGTGCTGGGCGACGCCGCCATGGCCAAGAATGCTGGTGCTGTCGCCGGCGACACCTTCGTCTGCGGCCAGCACACCAGCACCCCTTTGTCACGGAACCCGCAGACGATGCGGGTCCGCCTGCGATGGCGCGTCGCCTCCAAGCCGCTGTTAACCTCGGCGCGATTTGTGCCGGACCTTCTTCAGGGATACACCGCCCCACCGTCGCCTCTCCCGGCACCGCCCTCCGCGTGTCATGACGCAAATTTGGTTGGTGTGAAGCGCCCGCTTTCCGCGGTGGAAGGCTCGGGCTGCTGCTGTAGCGACGACGACGACGATGTTGACAAATCAGTTGGGGGGGAAAAAGCGGACGGGGAGGTGTCCACCCATAACCTCATGTCCGAACTGGAGAAAAAGAAGGAGGTTGTGCGGCGTCGGCTAGAGGCTTTACAGGCACGCGCAGGTGGAAATGTATCGTGAGTGGTAGGACTGTGGATCTGCTAACGAATGGACGTGAATCACCTGCTGTGGTTAATACCGCAGCAACCAGCGGTATCTGCGAGTACGTGACGTTATAACACTTTAACTCTCAATGCACTCTCTGTGAGAGACGCATGTTTTGCGTCACTTAACAGAGGAGAATGTGTGTGTGTGTGTGTGTGTGCACATAAATATATATGCGTGCGCGTATGTCTGACGTTTTTGTTGTCTCCTTTTAAAAATTTAAATTTAAAAGATAAAAATAAAAATGAGCCTCTCCGTATCTTTCCTACGGTGTTTCCCTGTTGGTACCTGGTTGTATGTGTTTTATTTTGTTTGTTTTTTTACTTCTTCTTTTTTTTCTTTTTTCAAATAGGGTGAGAAGCCGAAGCTGAACGTTGCACGTGACACGACAAGACAAGACGCTTTGTTTTGGGAAAGTTAACATTTATTTGAGAAGAAGAGGCAAGTCGTTGTGACGTAGTGGACGGACGGCTGAGTAGCAAAATTTCTTACATTTTGTGGGAAAGGTGGTGGGAAGAAAACAAAAACAAAAACCGAAAAGAAGGACCTGCCACACACACGTATATAAATACATACATTGGACGATACACACACACACACACACATATATATATATATATATATATATAGGATAATAGCCGGCCGCAATGCCACTGTACACCATCACCATCCATCCCGTGCGCTTGTACGCCTACTTCTGTCGACAAGGCCACTCCTACGCCATGCTAATCTCGCGCAAGGGGGTGCAAATCGTATCTAACCCCTCCCTCTGCAGCACAGCTGGGGAGGTAGAGTTCAGTACGCCCGAGGAGGTCAACAATGCGCAGAGCTTTGACATTTCCTTTGACTCTCCAAAGGACCGTCGCATGATTGACTTTGCCGTGTACGACATAACTAATCGCAAGCACACCTCTAAGCTGACCGGGTTTGAGATTCCGCTCGCTGGAATGTGCAGCGTTCTTGCGGGGGAGGCGATGTGCGAGAAGAAGAGCATCTCATTCAGAATTGACGGTAAGCCAGGGCGTCTGGAGGTCGTATTTCGCATGCACCCTACCTCCTCTTCGCCGCCGCCGCTGAAAGTGGTGGCGGGAGGAAAAGGTGATACGCAGTCATCGAAGCGTGCGGGGCGACTTCCGTTCCGTATTGTGGAGTCACTCACAACGGCCGGCATTCTTCCCAGTGAAACGGAGGTGGTGGAGACAGACGCGGACCTCGCGGAGGAGATCGCCATCCGCACTGCTCTGCTCTTCCCAAACAAAGAGGACTTGCTGGAGAAAGTGCAGGTGCTGGAGCGGCAGGTTGCGCAACTGGGGTACGACGCCCAGTACGCGGCGAAGGACAAGGTGGCCTGCGCCTCACCCGCCCTCGCCGCCCTCCGCGATGAGTTAAAGCACTGGCAGAATATTGCTGAGGAAATTGATATGAAGTCCGCCCATGAGGCTGGTATTGCCCCCATGCTTCGCGCCGTTCACAAGGCCCCTTTGGCGCAGAGCAGCGCCCTTGTTACTGAGGTGGAGGATCAATTGGCCACCACAAAGGCCAAGCTGCGCAAGCTGGAGGCACTTCAAAGTCATCGTGATATATCGAGCGAGGTCATTCCGCTCCTGGAGGAGATTGATCATCTGGAGTCCGTGCTGGTGGATTTGAATAACACCGAGGAGGGCCAGGCAAAACTCAAGCCAACCAGCGGCACCGAGAAATACATTGACCAATGGGAGAAGCTGGCTGGTGAGCTTTACGATAAAGAGTCCGTGGTGGAGCAGCTTAAGCATACCGTGCTCACTGTGAACCGGCTGCAGTTTGCTCCATATCCCGCAGGTATCGAGGCTGGATTTGCGGAAGAGGCGCCGAAGGAGCTTCCGTTCATTCGTGACAACAAAAGACGTATGGTGTCTGGACAAAGTCTGGATTTGACGCTTTTCGGGAGCACCGCCCCACCAACGAAGACGCCGCAGCCACAAACTGGCGACACTGGTGGCTACGTAAACTTGTTAGACGACCTCTTTGGTGCCCCGCCGCCACCTCAGTCACCTCCCGCACAACCGTCAGATCTAGCAGCGCCAACACCAGGAGGGGATACATCCCATTCCGTGCAGCAGCCTCAAGATCCTCTGGATTTATATCACCCTCCTGTGGGGGCGACGGTGGTCCCTGTGTGGGCACAACCACCGCCACAACAGCAACAGTCACAGCCAGCACCCTCGACCTCAGCTGCAGCGATGGAGACATGTAGTGTGAAGAACAACGATGACAATGTGAAGTCGCCAGGTTCCAAAAATAGGGAAACAGCACCACCAGAACCTGCCGCTGCCACGGAAGCTGTGCAACCGGGGGGATCAGGAGTCGCAGATGCATCCGTGTTACCTGGTCTTCCAGTAGCTCCAGCAGCAACGGCACCAAGTTGGCAAGGGGCGCTTCCTCAGAGCTCTGGAGGGGAGGATCCGCCAGCACCTGCTGCGTCGTCACCCGGGTCTCAGCCCCAACAAACTGCAACACAGGCGTACTATCCGCCTCAGCAGCTGCTGGGACAAAGTCCACAACAACAGCAACAACAACAGGCGGCTCCATTGGAACCCCCCGTTCCTCCGTTTGTGCGCCGTCCAGCGACTTTGGGAGAAATTCCTTACACTGCTTTCTACAACATTCCTCTCATGGGTCGTGGATGTCCATTGGACATATACCTGGATGGCATAACGCCCACACGCGGTACAGAGTTAACTATGTTGAATAACGCCGACTACGACGTCATCATCGGTGGTGTGGAACTTAAACAAGAGGACATGCTTTCTCCCTCTCCTAACAGCGCACGCACGGTGCCTACGCGTCGATGGCCGCAAGAGTTGCGCATTCCAGGTGGTGGGTGCCGTGCCACGTGCATCATCGCACTGCATCCTAGCTTTCCACAGGGTTCGTCCCTTTTCATGTTGGTGGTTGTGTATGTTTTATTGAACGGTTGTTACACCCCATACGCGGCGCGATTCGCCGTGTAGCTTTAAAATAAATTTAGTAGACAGTAGCGAACGTAAGCAAAAGCGAAGGGGGGGAAAAAAACAATATACACCTTTTTGTGTTTGGTAGTCAAAGCTATTCCCGTCTGGTTTACGGGAGGGGGGACTTCAATAAAGGACGAAAATGCATGCATCCTGGGCAGAGTTGGCACGCGTTTTACCTTGTGAAAAAATATCGGTCTTTATAAACGCCTTACACGTGTTATTTGTGGCAACATTGTGCAATCCCTGTAATGTGATGCTGACACACGTTGTTGCTTTTCGTTTGTTTCCTTCAAGACACGAGGAGAACCTAGAAGAAAGGAACTGAGTGAGAGAGAGAGAGAGAGAGAGAATAGCGCCAATAGTAGTGTGAATGGTAGCTGCCCCGAAAATGCGATGACGCGTGGGCGTTCGCGGCACCGCGAAGGTGCTGTGAAAGTTGTGGATGGCAGTCCCACGAGGCGGGTCATGAGCTCACGGCTGTGGGTTGTCGGGACAGAGCCCGGCGGAGAAGTTTGTGGAGGAGCTTCACGCCTCGATGCCCTTTTGTGAGCAAACCCCGGGTGAGTGACTACGAGGCTGTCGTGGCGTCATCGAACATCGAAGGTGGATGTGGTGCGCACCCCCATCCCTGTCACGGCGCGACACATGTGGATGCCGGAGTGTGCCAAACACAGGACGTACGTGGTTGGTCAAAGACCCATCGCCGTGTCTCCGTTAAAGCTGCAGGAATGGTTGCAGCACTTCACCGCAAGTTGGTTGCTATTTGTGAAGGGTACCATGCTGTCTCATGGTCGTTGCATCCAAGATGTTTGCCTCGCCCGCCGTGAGATTGGAAAGCTGCGGCGTGTGGAGACGCACTTTGCGTTTCTGGCCTCCGAGGAATTTCTGCAGAGCGGCATACGCTTTAATTTTGCACTAGAGGACCTCGGTGCCTTGTGAGATTGTGGCTGGTACTGTATACGTCTCATGCTGCATGCCGTGAACTTTCAAATGGCCAAGGCCGTTGTTGGGCGGGTTGTGAAGAGGAACGACAAGAGTGCCATTGTTGCCTTTTCTGGGGAACTCACCTTTGAGATAGATGGTGGGGGGGAGGGGGTGCGGAGTGTGACAGGGTTTCTCTCTACTGCACCCTCAGCGGTGCCCCAGAGGCAGACTTTACAGTGTCGGGGACTGCGGGAGTTATTGAGTCGCCAAACAGTTAGGGCCCTCTCATGGCATTCTCTGGGTGCGCCGGTTTTAAGCTTGTGGAGGCGCGGATGGTGGTGTCTGGCACTGAACTTACCGTCACGCGTGAGGAGCACATCATCAAGGTGCCGGAGTAAGACGGCTTCTTCCAGGAAACGCAGATGTGGCGCGACGTCGACACCGCTTTGTCCAGAAACAGTGATGAAGAATTTGTCGCCTTCGTCGCGGCGGTGCGAAAGTGGAGCTGTATGGCGTGGATGACGCAGTGCATTCTGGACAAACTGGCGGAGTCTGCGGAAATGCAGCCAAGGGGGTAACGGAAAGACACATGCGTGGCGCTCCGCAATGCATATTGGCCTTTGCGCAGACCCACCACACACACACACACATCATTATATGTTGATGTTTCTTCTTGGGCCTGCTCCGGTGCGGTGGGAAACGTGGATTGTTGGCTTCCTCTCCCTCTGTCACACACACACTCTTACATGCACACGAAGCCCCGACGTCTGCTTGTTGCTGCCATCAGTCGTAGTGGTATCATTTTGTGTGTAACCCTCCCGCACAATCCTCAACGACGACGATGGCGTTGGAGACTGCTGTGGAAATGATGGGGCATGGTGGTGCAACACGCACTCTTCCAAACTCCCCATTTTACTTTTGAGGCTTGCGGAGATGCCTTGGTGCTCATCTTTTTCTCTTCCTTCTCTCCAATGACTTTGTTTTTCTTCTTTGCTTCCCCACACACACACGACATATATTCTCCACAGTAGGGATTTATCGCCCTCTCTCTCTCTCTCTTAAGATGGATGTGGAGGTGCGGTGCGCACGACGATGCCCCCAAAGCGAATTGTGGTAAATTTATCGGAAAAGTACGGTGATATACGCATCCCACACTCACTCCTACCAGGTGTCAACCCCGTCGCGTACACGGAGCAGGCTGTCCTCTTTGTGGCGCCACCACCTGTGGAGCGGGGGTTTGAGTGGGGTGATGCACTCAGCGAGGGCGAGGCCTCTGCTCCATGGGAGCCGGCACCACCTTTAGACGAGAAGGGAACGGCAAGGGCGTCACTGTTGGCGTACGACGCAGAGCCGCTTCGTAGCCCCGTCATGCGGGCGCGGCATTTACACTAGGATTGAATACACCCATGCTACGGTGGTGTTGGTTATGACTGCAAAGCTGAGTCCGCTGATTGAGCCGTGTAGTGCTGATACGTTTGTGTCTTTGGTGACTCTTTGTTTCCCTTCCCACATCCCCAACCCTCCCCCCCCCCACCTCCGTGCTGGACTACACGCCGAGACACTACGCTCTCTGCTAAGCGTCACTCCGTGCTCCTTCATCGTGTTTATCTAGATAGTTTGAATCCTTCTGGGAACCAGAGCTGAGATGGCAGAGAAGGTCATGGCCGCCAGTCCGCAGTCCTCCTCTAGTGTGTCGCTTTTTATTCGTGACGCAGATGCCGTAGCCCCAGCGTTTGCACCGATTCGAGTCAATGGCGACATCACTCTGCAGGAGCTGGCGGAGGAGTACTGCATCAGCAGTGTGTTGGAGTGCGACTCCACAGGCTGCGTTCAGCCAAGGGCGGTGGCATTGGATTCGCCTTTAGATGTTTTGCATGGCGGGCGGTATTACATCGCCAGACGTGATCTGCCGCGTGTGGGACGCTCACCACGAGTGACATTTCGTGGGAAGATTACGGTGGAGGAGTTTGAGGCAGACCACGCGCTCGGACAGAAGCAGCAGCAGAGGGAAAAGGAAGAGAGGAACAGTGGTCCTGCCACTCTAGCTCTGGGCACAACAAAGGCTGCTCCTTCTGCTCCGATGCATGCAACGAAGCGGAACCGCCGTGAACGCGATGAGGACGACGGTGACATTGACGATTGTGGCAATATGAAGGATGTGGAAGATGATGGCGATGGGAACCTAGTCGACGGTCTGGATCTGTCCCAGTATACGTTTGTGCCGTTCCTGGGCGACCTCTACGGGGATGGTCGCAAGGCGATGATTCACCTTGTAGATGTCAAGCCACTGTGTGAAAATGTGGAGAGCGACGAGCTCATGTTCGCTGAACGGCACGCTCAAGCGGAGAAGATCTTGGCGGGGGCGAAGCAGATGCTTCTTGAGCTCACTCCTGGCGGTGTTATCGCTGAGAGTGCTGGCATCATTTTGTGCTGAAGAAGTGAAACTGTGCGCGTTGTGTCCCCGCTGGTGGTGTGTGTGTGTGTGTGTTACATTAGATATTTTTGTTTGTCGTCAGTTGTTGTTTTTTTGTTTTGGCTCCCGTCTCTTGTGTGTTCATTGGGCGAGGCATTCACACACACACACATGCATACACACAGAGAGAGAGAAAGAAATAAAGAACAGCCACCGCCCTTCGTTACCCACAAACGAAAATACGTAGCGTAGCTACCTGCCTGTGTGTGGATGCTGCATAGAAGGAAGACACTGCCTTGTGGCTCCGTTGTAAACTGAGAGAAATGTATCCATCGTTTTGGTGTGATATTTGTGCGAGTGTACATGGCCCATGCATCTGTGTCTTTGCATGCATGCACTGCGAGATGCCTTGATCACATGGTTTCTTCGCTTTCCTCTTATCATTGTGGTTTGCCTTCCATTACCTTTAATTCTTTTTATTTTATCTATTTCCCTTGTTTGTTTTGCCTCCGCTCCTCTGCACGCTGGATGAGAGAAGGAAGTAGGCAGAGGAGGTGCGGTGATGGATCTTGCTGCTTCCTCTTCTCTGCTGTACTCGCGCTACAGCAAGTGCGTGCCACTTATCGACCCCATCAAATATTCTTTGCGGGGCCCCAACGAGGGCGAAAGAAACGGCGCTGGTGCTGTGAGGCGATACGACAACGAGGACGAAAACATTGCTTTTCTTTCTTCGGTTCAGATGCCGTCCGAGTTGTGTTTGGCGCTTGCATGTGTCTCGCGACGTCGTGAGGCTGTGCGGCGCAGCGAGCAGGGCCCACTGCTCGTCTTTGTCCCGTTCCATGAGCCAAGAGATGAGGTTTTTGTTGAGGTTCCTGTCGCGGCCTTTGGCAACGCAAAACGACAGCGCGGGCTGCATCTGCTGCCGCTGAACGACTACTCATCCCTCTGCGCCGACGCGAAGGACGGACTTCCACCGCGGAGGGGGTTTTTTGTGACGTTCCGCACGCGTGCGGAACAACAGCGCTTTCGGGCCGCCATTCATCAGCTCATCCGCGACTGCGCCTACTGCGGTCCGCTGGACGGCAATGTCACGCCGCGATGCGTGACGAGGCACCCCAAAGACACAATGCAGCACCGCAAGAAGGAGGTGGAATTCGTGCGGGGCGGAGAGAAAACAGACACCCTTGTGGCAGCAAAAACCTCGTGTGGGGTGGTTGATGTAGGGAAACATGCAAGCAAGCCAAATGGGGCAATCTTTTTTATCGATAGTCTCCTAGCGGAGCGGGATAGGCGTCGAGCGGAGTACATTGCAGGTATTCAAGGTTCTCCGCCGGGGGACCGTCGCCATGGCGATGAGATCGACTCTAGTACATGGTCCGGGCAGCAACAGGCGGTGCATCCGGAGCTGTGGAACATGATTGATGGTGCTGTCGAGCGCCAGGCAACGGCAGACCGGTGTGTGGAGCGGCAGATGGATGCCGTGGTTCCGCTATCAGAGCGGGATACACTTTTGCGCCAGCTGTGCGCGGCTGTGGAGGCGTATGATAATATGAGTGACGCGCAGGGGTCTGGTGAGATGAATCTGATGGGTGCAGCTCGCCAGTTTTTGTGCCAGCATCAAAATCACCTTTGGCAGCTTCAACACGCTGGCAGTGCCACGCATCTGTCGGCAGCGGTAGTTGGCCAAGAAGACGCCAAAACTCACCCACAGGTGGTGGGGCTGGCAGCAACAGCACAGCCTCAACTAACCGTGAATGGATCGTCTGCTGAGGCGCTGCGTACCCCCCGCGTTGATGTCCCCGATCCGCGGGAGCGACGGCAATCACTGCAGCAAACAGTTCCAGTGCCTCCGCCTTTGACGCAAGATGCTGCGGGGGGTTTGGCGCACAAATTGCCTGATCCATCGCCGTTGCAGCAATCGAGTTTGGGGCCCGAGGATGCAGAGCAAGATGCGCAGCGCTGTTTGCAGGAGGAGCTGCAGCGTGCCCGTGAGATAGAGTCCCGTATCTTGTCTTCCTTTCACACTGTGGCACCGCATTCGTTGGCCGCCAAGGGTGTCTTTGGCAGGGCTCCAAAGACGTCTTGGCTTCCCTCCGCCTCACTGGATGTGAGCGTGAGGCAAAAAGGAGGAGGTGGTGGCGAAGCAAATGGGGGTGGTGGCACAGCGGAGTTTGAAACCGTCAATGTGACACTGTCACCGGCGCAGATGGAGGCGCAACCTGTGGGGGTGACCAACAACGCGGTGACGGATGCACCAAAGGAGGCTGAGGCAAAATCCCCGCATTGTGGAGCAGGGTGGAGGCCTGTGCGTGACTCCGTCAGCGACAAAAGCTACTATGTGCATGACTCGACAAAGAAGACCACCTGGAAGATTGAAGATACGTTTAAAGGTGAGCCGCAGGAAACGGGTGTGAAGGAGGTCGCAGCCTGCGGTGCCGAGTGGCGTGCAGTGATAGAACCGAGCAGCGGTCGCACGTATTATGTCCACCGGAGAACCAAAGCCACAACGTGGAAGCTAGAGGATACACTCAGGGAGGATGTCAAGACATCCTGTGCGAATTTGACAGCTTCGCAGCATCCAGAGAAGAAAAAACGGACAGAGTGGGCAGAACGCAAAGACCCTGCAACGGGCAAAGTGTACTATTACAACAAGAAGACGAAGCAAACAACGTGGAAACGTGCAGAGACAGACTTGGACCCCTTGTGATGATACCGCGTGGAGTGCTGCGGAGATGCCATATTTTAGTTGTGTTATTATTATTATTTGCGTGCATGTGTGTGTGTGTGTGTTTGTTGTTGTATGATATCCCTCTGCACCAGCGAAGGTGCAGAGACGCATGTATACTTGTTTTATATATTTACGAAGAGAAAGGAGGGACAAAGAAGGAAAGAAGGAAGGAAGAGGGGAGTTGACTTGCTGCTGATTCTTTTTGGTTGCAATGCGGGGTCGTGTGAATCTGCGTTTCTCGTAGGCAACCCATTTCTTCTTTTTACGTGTTTGTTTGTTGCACTTTTATGGTGGGGGTTTGGGCTATGACGTGTAGCGTCATCATGGATATTCTTCGTAGAGTTTTGACAGTGCAGTTTTCACGGCTTTATGAGCTTCTCGACGAGGAGGGCATGCCCCTGCTGCTGTCATGGCAACCCCTGCGTTTCCAGCTTACTCTCACCTTTTCCAATGAGAATGGCGAACGTGACCGTGACGGGGCCGCGCTGATGGCGGCACTGGGGGAAAGCGACTTCTGCCAGCTGTGGTGGAAGTTGCTTTACACGGTGCGCATCCTTCCGGTTGTCGTGAGAGCCGAAGCGTCACCGTCGTCAAGTAAGACGCAGGGCCAGACAGTGCCTGCAACCTATGGACTACAGCAGGGTGTGGGGTGTTGTTTCCGCTATGGTGTCCCGCCATTCTGGGAGGACTGGACACGCGTAGAAACTCCCCCCGCTCCGGGTGCGGTGTTGAACGTGATGGCTGCCGCAGGAAGGATCCTTACGGTGGTGGCCGAGCAGCGGGATGAGGCAGTCATGCCCCCAGCGGTTGTAGTGAATCCAGACACGCCGGAAGGCAAGTTAGCGGGTGCCGTACCACGTCATCTGAGGTACACGTATACATTTAGCTACGTTCTGCCTGAATTAGAGGAGTTGCACGGACCTCTAACATTGGGTTTTGTACTGCTTCTTCCCTTCCCCAGTGGTGGCGTTGATAAGAGGGGGGCCGGCGATGAGGATGATGATATCATGCTTCGTGCTCTTCTTTCTGCGGAGGAACGGAAAGTGGGGTGGTATCGACCCTCTTTTGTGGTGTTAGGGACCTGCTACTATCAGGCGCATGTAGGTCGGCTTCTGTCCTGCTCCTCCGTCGCACGACGCGTGTCGCAGTATCGCGTGTTGGTGAGTGTGAATGTGGTGAATATTGCGGGTATCCCGCTGCGCGTGCAACGGGTCTCCTTTGACATCGCCTCTACCTGGATTGGGGAGATTCTTGGCAGCCCCTTCAGCGTCCCATTGTGGTCTGAGCAGCGGGCCGGACCACGCAGTGCAGACTTGAAATATGTGGAACTGCTGCGACGCGCCGTCACGGTAACGCCCATTGTGGTGCATGAGTTTCGCGTCCCGGTGGCGCTGGGACCCGAGGAGTCCGTGAACTTTCAGTTTGCCATTCAGGTGCGGCCCCACTTGTGTTATCTTTTGGAGCCGCACTCAATTGGGAATGTGTATGGTAAGTTTTTAAAGGGGCGTGCGAAGGAGGTGGCTGATGGGGGACCAAACACGGATCCGGATGTCGCTTCTCTCACTGGCCCAACGCATCTGCCTTCTAAACGCAGCACCGCGACCTTCGCCCCTTCGAGGTCGTGGATGCCGGGTGCCGTTGCTACTGGAGCAGCAGATGGGGTCTCACGCGAGGAGCTGGTTCACCTGATGTCGATGCAGTTTACATCCCATGTGTATGTGCACTATGAGGCAGTGTCGCCCACAGGCAGTGTTTACGCTGCGGAGGCAAAGAGCAGCATAGATGGGGAGGAGGGCATCTACCCCAGTCTGCAGCTGCGCCATCCGGTGCACTGGTCCATGTGTCTGCCGTAACGCTCAGCGACAGAGGTGTTTCCTTTGTTTTTTTGGATTTGTTTTGTAGGTATCAATGTCTGTACGTGCGTGTATATAATATATACATGTATCATGTTTTCATCTTACCTTTCATTGCATAATATTTCTTCCTCAACGGAAGAAGGCAACTATTTTCAGGAACAGAATTAACCACACACACACACACACACACACACACACGTCGTGGCAAGCGATTCAGTCGTGTTGCACCTTCACAAAGCCTGCAAGAGAGGCAACGGAGCATTTATTGCGGAACATAGACAGCCTGAAGTGATACCAACACTGTCGCTCGACAGGAGTCCGTCGTGTTACAGGGTGAGAAGCACTTTCAGCGGAGCCGGCGACCACCTTGGCGTGGCGGTTGGTGCCCTCTTCTATAAAGCGAATAATCGCTTCTTTGCTCTACCACCTTGTTGAGGCTGATTGTAGCGATTGTTTTGAATCCGGTTTCCATACAGACAGACAGACAGAAAGAGAGTAAGCAATGCAGGTCACTCGGGACACATTCCCTGTCATCTTTCCCAAGTTTGTGGAGCTCCTGAAGACGTGTGACTTTTACGCGTTTGATGAGGAGATGACGGGCATCAACACGGCGGAGCTGCCAGAGACAATCACAGACACACCTGAAGAGAGTTATCGTGCCAAGCGCACCGTTGCCAGTCGTTACAATATTATTCAGGTTGGAATATGCTTGTTTCACAGAGACGCCACAGCGGCCGGCTCCACTCCGGCGCAGTATGTTGCTCGGCCCTTCAACTTTCTCCTCTTCCCTCACCACGCCGATGACTTTACAGCGGATGAACGGTCCAGAGACGTGGTGCTAAGCCCCTCCTCTCTGGCGTTTCTCCGCCGACATGACATGAACTTTCAGTCGTGGGTGTACCAAGGCATGGCGTACTGTGACGCACGGCAGGAGGAGGCCCTGCGCAACAGATACGCGGAAAAGTACCAGGAGATGGACCGAACCCGCGGCGCCGAGAAGCAGGAGACGCAGGAAATAAATATTTTGACGGAAGACGAGCGGAAGTGGTACAATAACGCCGTAGCGCAGGCGCAGAGCTTTGCTGAACGGGTTCAAGCGGCGCTGGAACGTGCAAAGGGGAAGAATGGCGGGCAGACGGCGGTTACGGCAGAGGTGGCCGCCTCCGTGGACCTCATTCAGTCCGGTGGACGGGACGTTTTACTTCCGCCTCAACGAGGCAAGAGTGCCCGCGAGGCGCTTGAGCGGTATATAGCTCAGCACTGTCACAGTCTTTCCATCACCTTTCGACGCCAGGGCGCGGTGCACATTGGTGTGCTACGGGCGGTCTTTCCGGAGCAGCGCAGACGACTGCTTGAGAAAGAGCAATCCTTCCGGGAACGAGATCTGATGAACATGCTGGGGTTTCGTTTGGTGTTCAAGGCTCTTGTGTCGAGTAAAAAGCCCTGTGTCGGTCACAACTGCTTTGCTGACCTCCTCTTTTTGGTTGCTAGTTTGGATGGCCCGTTACCAGATACCCTGCCCGAGTTTAAGCTCCGCATGCAGGAGTTATTCCCTACTGTGTTTGACACGAGGTACGTTGCAACCCGTCAGGCGTTTTTCCCAGTGGGACGATTTGGGGATCGATACTTGAGTGGCTTTTTTGGCGAGTACGGCTTTCGCTCCGCGCACGTGCAGGTGACACTTCCATTGGGGTTTGAATCCTACGACCCGCTCGCTGTCGGGGGCAATGAACGCCGCCACAGTTCTGCCAGTGGTGACGGTGGTGGGCCGACGCATGAGGCTGGGTACGATGCTCTGCTAACAGGGACGCTGCTGCTCAACCTTCTTGCAGAGATGGGGGGTTATGACGTGGCGACGGCTCCCGAGTGTGTCGTGAATCGCGTGGCCATTTTCCGCTCCCTTTTTGCTCTCCAGCTGGAGAACCCCAGCGTCGATGAGTATCTTCCCGAGAGTGGAGTGCTGGACCTGCGACACGAGAAGGGCGTGAAGACCTATCACATTGAATCCTGTTTTACCGCCTTGTCGTTGCAAGACGTCGAGCTTTACTCAGTTGATGGGACACGGACGTTGGCCGTTCTTCCCTTCACCTGGTCTAAACTGGGGCCGCATGAGCAGCGGAATCCGGGATGGCTTTCTACGCACATGACTTCACGCTTTCCGCAGATTTTTGAGGCTGCCGTGTATCAACCCACCGCCACCTCCGTAAGCACCAAGGGTGCGTTTTACACGACTCCACGCGCGCTCATGCGTGTTTGTCTTCACTCCGCTTTGAGGTGATTGGGTAGGGGGCAGGAGTTTCTTTTTTTCTCTTTTCCATGGTCACGAAAATATATTCCTCTTCTTTGGGTGCGGCTGGGGTTTGTTGTCTTGTGTGTGAATATCCGCTACTTTGCTTCTGGCGTGGGGCGGTGGGTACACTTGCAGCAGAAGCCGCCGTCGGTTGCCTTATGCCTCTCTCTGTGGGTTTGTTCCCTTCTACTTTGCCGCAAAGCTGCGTGTCGAAATATATATATATATATAGTTTATGGTTGTTCCTGTTGTTTCTCTTTGTCTTCTGGTCTCTCCCCCGCCGTGAGGACTTATGTCGTGGACGGCGCACATCAGTCACCCTTGTGTGTCACCAAGCACCCTCACGGAGTGAAAGACGTGCATAGCTCTGGCCCCACCCCTTCCTTCCCGTGGAAATAATTGCAGCTGGGAACACGTGGGGTACATTTTCATTCTATTTTGGACTGAAGGGCCAAAGTAAGAGATGGAAACAACCACCTACAAGTCTGCGCCACCAACGTGGGGAGCAAGTGGGAAGGATTATTCGGGGGCGGGCGCCGCCTCGCGGTAAGTCAAGGGGAGGCATGGCTGTGTAGAGCCGCTCCACCGGGCGGAGTTGTGGGGCAGGCTTCTTCGAGAAGCAGAAACCTCCGTGCGTCTCCGCTGTCCACTACACGTTGGCGCCGTAGTGCTTGCATCGAATGGGTGAAGGCGCAGCCTTTGCTGCGGCACCTGGCGGCTGAGTGCGGTCGGGTTGCAATTATGCACGTTTGGTGGGCGTTCATGGACGGTTACTTTGTCTGTGGTGGGGGGGAACCGCAACGAAACCGAAGGACGCGCTGCTCCTGGGCACGGCGCCAAGTTATGCCAAAAAGTTCTGTGAGGTTGCCGATGAAGTTGCGTGGGTTGCTGCAAGGAAGAATTAGAGAGAGAGGCGATTGTGCGGAGACCCCACAGAGGTGGTGTGTGTTTTGCAGATGGTTGGGGTGACCACTTCTTATCGTGTCCGAGAAGGCATTGGGGGATTGCGGGTGCAGCAGGAGACGCAAGAATTTGTGCCGTCCCCAGTGTGGGCCGCCGCGAGGGAGGTTTCGGCGCAGCTCTGCCGGGTAGTCCACCCACGGCATGTGTCAGTGTGCTGTCGCGGGTCTATCTGTGTGAGCCTATGGGCATCGTATTCGAGCGATGCCCTGTCACTCAGCCGCCGTTGTCGACTTCGCGTGTAGGCGACGGTCCGCCATGTTGTCTTCTCCGGGCTGTCTCTTCTCCGGCTTTCCACATACGTGATGCGCACTGCACCCTTCCACTGAAGTGCCTGATGCAATGTCGCTGTCATTGCCCACTTTACTTCTCTTGCCTTCTTCTTTCTTCCTCACGCGCAGAAGGAAGGAAAATAATCACTACTCGCTGCTGTGCGCTTTGAGGGCTTCTGCAGTCCCCACCCGTAGCAACACACACACACACAACCGTTGCGGCCTGAGCGGATCACCCCACAAGGAGGGAAGGAAAAGAGAGAGAGAGAGTGAACAGCAACGACCCGACATGTACCGGCATCTGTTTGCTTCTGCGGTGCTTCTCTTTTGCGTGCTGCTGATGTGCGGCGGCGGTGAAGCTGCCAATGCTGGTAAGGGAACAAAATTGGATGAGGTTGAACTCTTCAAACCAGGGGAAATGGCATTATCCGTGGGCGGAGAGGAGAACCTTCCTGCGCTGAGCAGTGTATTTTCGGTTAGGGGTAATTCCCTTGTTGCCGTGGATGGGGTGCTTGTGGCCGTTGCCGAGGCGGAACACACAGCCTCCTATAACACTGATGTTGCCATCTTGGTGAGTTCCGGGGTGGATGTGGGGAGCCACTGGCAGAAGCAAGTTGTCTTTCGCAAGGCGCCGCTGCCTCAGTTTTCCGTTATTCTGATCGGCTCTCGGGGAGTTGCAAAGGGCAGAAAGATCTTCCTTTTTGTGGAGAGCTTCAGTGAGCCTGCTCGGAGGTTGAAAGCAACGGTGCCGTCACTGGAGGACAGCTGGGACGCGGTGTTGTTTGTCGGTGACGTTTCCGCGCCGCGTGGCGGGAGCCCGGAGGCCAGAACAGTCAGCTGGAGTTCGCCGAGGTCACTGAAGGACGTTTTCACCACGTATCTGAGGCAGCATGGATGGACAATTTTTCGGGCCAAAAGTAGCGGCGTTGTGCTGGGCGGCAGTGCGATCGTGTTCCCGTTGGTTGCCACGACTGCCGAGGAGAGGCAGGTCTGCACCATTTTTTACTCGACGGACGACGGGGTGACGTGGCGGTTTCCAGCGTCCGGTGAGGCCGTTGAGGGTTGCCACTCTGCGCGCCTGCTTGAGTGGGAGGGGCGACTCCTCATGATCACGACGAACGCTTTTCTACGCTACAACCTCCACGCATCCAGCGACATGGGAGAGACGTGGACGGCTGTTGCCGGAGCCTACTCCAACGTCTTGGGTGACTTTATCAGCCGTGGTAGCTTTGGCACCCAAGGTGAGTTCATGACGGCAGATATTGAGGGGAAGCGTGTGGCACTGTTTATCACACCGGTGCATGTTCGTGAGAAAAACTCGTACCATCGTGGACTCCATCTCTGGGCCTGTGGGATGGGCCGCATTCACGACGTTGGGCTGATAGTGACGGGTGTCACCGCTGTCAACCCCTTCAGTAGTCTGCTGTACAGCGATTCTAAGTTGCTTCTTTTCTACGAGAAGCAAGAGGGGACATCCAGCAGTCTTGTTCTTAAGGACCTCAGTGAGTCGCTGGGGCGACTCAGGTTTGCCCTGAGGACTTGGCAGGCCGTCGACGCGCGCGTCTCGGCGGGGTTATGTACCTCCACTTACACAGCCGCCTCTTCGCTAGCCGTGTGTGTCGGTCCGATGCCCACAGCCGGGCTGGTTGGTTTTTTGTACGACAAGGGCGACAGCGCTCACTGGGGCGACGAGTACCTTGGCGTGAACGCCACGGTGGCCGGCGCCGCGGAGAAGGTTCAGAATGGCTTTAGGCTCACAGGGTCTAGCGCACGTATTGTGTGGCCGGTGGGCACTGAAAGGTGGAATCAGCGCTATCACTTTGCAGACCGTGGGCTCACCGTTGTGGCGACGGTGACTATCCACAAAGCGCCGAGGCGCCTCACTCCTTTGTTGGGCGTGGGCGTGGGCGTGGGTGTGGGGGGGCGTGGGTCCGTGCAGCATTTGATGCTATGCTACGACGAGGGCAGACGATGGGGGCTGATGCACAAAGGAGTAACGGGTGGGTACGCACTTGCTTGGGAGGAGGATACGGCGTACCGGGTGGCACTCACGCTGCAGCGTGGCGGCAGCTCCGTGTACGTTGACGGAGAGCAGGTGGGCCGCTTTGAGGACGTGGCAGCAGCTGCGATGGATTCCCACGGCAGCTTGCAATCGCACGATAACGCGCCACTGTCACCACGCGAGGAAATCTTTCATCTCTGCTTTGGGGACCACGAGGACAGTCAGGAAGCTACTGACGGGAACGAAGTGACGCTGACGGGTGTTTTTCTGTACAACCGGCTGCTGAACGCCACGGAGCTGAAAGCACTCGTGAAGGAGAAACCCGCCCCTCCGGCGACGACAGAAGCGCCGTCGACCACGGCCCCTCCAGCGACGACAGAAACGTTGTCAACTACGGCCCCTCCAGCGACGACAGAAGCGCCGTCGACCGCAGCCCCTCCGCAGGTCAAGCACGACAGCTCCGTGCGTGGGTGTGGGGCTGCGGTGCTGCTGCCGCTTCTTCTGCTGGGGCTGTGGGGCGGCGTGTCGCTGGTGTGAGCGGAAGGGAGCAGCAGGGGGGGAGGTGCGACCCGCGCTGGAAACGACGTCGGCTCCTTCCCGCTCGTTAATTTCTTTGTTTTGGGAACTCCTCTTCCTTTTTTTTGCTTTTTTGTTTTTTTTTGCTGTGCGCACACCCTTCCGTTGGAGGGGCGGGCTCCCCGCACGATTGTTCGCTGCTCTCCGCCCCGCACACGCCGAAGAGGGCCGCCGCGCTGCAGCGATGAGGCGCCCACGAGGCGGAGCAGCAATGCCGCGCAGAATTCCGCCATGAAATGCAACTGACTGCGTGGGCATGCGGC